AAGATCCCTTTTCCACTGAAGCACGGAAGGCAAGTAATGACCCCCTTCACCAGCTTTCCGGGCTCTATGCAAAAGCCTGCCAGGCTCAATGGTGCAAGTTTGCGCGCCTCTCCAAGGCATCCATGGCCAGCTTTAGCGCCTCTTCGGGCTGGCTGCCTCGGCAAAGCTTCTCTCGTTGCAAGTGCCGAGGCCTCCCTCACGGTTTTTGTCCAATCCGACAGTCTCGCTACCATGAAGCACTTCCAGAGAGACCGAGCTAAGACGAGCGCAGCTGATCTGCATCTCTATGGCAGACTTAGCAACACAAGACATGCTGCCACAAATCGGCGATCGCAACACAAACATTGAGAACATAGTCTGAAGCTCCCCGGCCAGCATCGCCTCGCCCTCCAACTTGCGAAGGTGATCTTGCAGGCCTGCCGGACTCATCTGCACACCATGTGTGGGGCCGCTCGGCTTTTCTCATGGCTTGTCCTCTGAGTTTGCTTGATCGCTCCTGCCAACCATCGAGCTACTTGCAACAACTCATGTAAGAAGCGCTTACCTTCTTTATTCATCAGGCCTGTGCATTGTGCCCCACCCTGGCCTTTGTCAATATCTTCTTCCAGAAGTCCTGCCACTCAGCAATTCTACGGTCTAACTCTCATGGAGCCTGAGCATCGAACTTTTTGCTAGCTTGCCTCATTCCTCAACGGTGAATGCACATTAGCTGGGGAGGCTGGATTCCGCAAACGGCCTCCTCATATTAACGTACGTGCGACCAAGCTCGCCGTGATCAAATCTCAACTCAGCTCGAACATCCAATAACCCGCAAACTATCAAGCAACAAGCTAATGAAAACGCACGCGTGGCTCCGCCACCACACATCCCTCTCTCGGCCTCGCAGCAGGCCTACAGCCGCGTCGATGGACTTCTGCCCCATGGCCTGTGCTGCGCAGCAGACCCCAGGTGTGAGCCACTACCCCCATAACACTCGGACTGCGGAAACTGACGGTCGGCAAAATGCGACTGTGGGTCTGCGTTTTAAGGAGAGCTCGGATTGGCAATGACGTTGACAAATCTCCACATCCACCGCTCGAATCATGGCCCCAGGCGTGCTGCTGCAGCGCCACCTGAGCCTGACAAAGGACTGGAGGGACGGATTGGCCCCGCTTTGAAAACGTGAAGCGCACAAACTGACCGGGCCAATTTTTTACATGCCGCGCTTGACACGTGCGTGTGCGCGCGCGCGTTGGGCAGTTTGTGATTGAACTGGATCTGGGCACATCAGCCACTCGATAATGGTCTCCAGCCTTGCCCAAAGATAGGAGGGCTGCAGCCTGACAGGCAGTCCAACGATCTTGATGCTGGAATCTCAGCGACCATGTAGCCAATTTGAGCACGCCTCATCAACTGTGTCCTCAACCGATCTGTCCCCATCACCTCCTGCGTGCAGCAACTTTCAAACTAAGCAAGCTTCCCTCACTTGCAGAATGGATTGAAACACCTGGACTGGGCAGAGATCAGTCCGGCCTTGTTCTCTGAAGGTCTCCACACTGTCCCTGGCTGCTGCAAGCGCCTCCTCATGCCTCGGCCACTCTCTGCCGCACGCTACGAAGCGGCTCGCGTCTAGGTTAGTCTGAAAATGGGGGAGGGGGCCTTATTGTCAATGCTTTTAGACGGGAAACAACTGAAAAAACCAAGCGCTGGAGCTTAGCCAAATTTAATCCCTTCCAGACACACCCATCTGAGTAGCGTTTTTGTTTGGGTGCATCGGCCCTATACACTGGCAGCCATGCCTGCGCAGAGCCTCCGCGGGTGTGTCAAGCCATGAAAGGGTGCCTATGCGATCCCATTAGGCAACAAGCGCCTATGCCGAGTGCCCATGCAAACTTTTCTCGAGCGCTAATTCTTAAAGTTTGAAGAAGTACCTACACAGTACAGTGCCTCCATGGGACAAGGAGAGTGTCCCCCCGCCTCCGAATACTGAGCGAATACATAGCAAATACAACTCTACTCATCTGGGCGGGCTGGCGAGTTCAGCGCCAAGTGCGCCTTGGACATAGTAGACAGCAGGGAAGCTACCTGCGCAGGGTTTATCAGCGGCGGGGCATTCGAGCCGCCGTTGGAGCTACATCCTCCCAACATCCAACTGGATGCAAAAAGAAGGTGTCAGGAATGAACCACATGCTTCAAGCTCAGATTTGCTTGAGTAACTTGACATGCAGAACACAAACATGTATCTCATGACGTGGAGGTAACCAAGCTCGCAAGCCACAAGTGACTTGCCCAGCGCACCGCTCTTCGCTCTTCCAGGTCGCAAAAAAGCCGACCTGGGCATATCTGGCGCTCTCGCTGGCAGGATTCGATTGGATTCTGCCCTCACCGAGGCTGTGCAGAATGAGAATGTGAATTCGCAGAATCCGAAGGCGCCCAACGCTTCTAAGCTCCCACCTGCTTCCGCGCAAAGCTGGAGAGCCTCCTCCGGGCCTCAGCCGAGCTTCAAGTTGCCCGGAGCTAGTGGCTCCTCCATATCTCCTAAGCCGAAACCTAACACGTCAGATACCTCTTCGCACGTCTCATGTTCAGTTGAAGCTCCCGTGCCTGCACAGCTCTCGGCCAGCAAGTGCAGCGCAAAGGCTTCGCCTCAAAGGCTTTGTCCTTCTCGCTATCACTCCAGTCACTCTTTTGCCAAAGTTGCAAGGGTACGCTTCTCCTTTACATTCTCCCAGGGTCCATGACCTTCCCTGCCCAAAGTAAAAGGATGCCGAAATCTGCCGACCGCGGCCTCTCCGGTGCCCGCAGGCGCGGCTGCCTCGCAGTGCCTCCAGGGCTGCCCGCCAGGCCTCGCGAAGCCACAGCCCACTCAACGCTTGATTTGGCCGCTTTGATTACTTTGATTCGCGCCAAACGCTGAAGCTCGGCCCAAAAACTCGGGACGAACCTTGTAGTGCTTGGCGTCGTGGTTTTGCCGTCGTTTCAAACAGGGGCAACCTTTGGCCCGCTTCAAGGTTGAAGCCAGTTGAGCGCAAAGGTTGGCTTCAAGCAGCCCAGCTCCTCAAGCATGTTTTGACCGCAGTGAATAGGCGATGCTCGCGGCTATGAATTTCAATGAGGAACACCCTCAACAAATGACTGGTGGCAAAAACAACATGTAAATTATGTCCGCCAAAGGGCCCCACGAGGCGTCGCAGGAGTTCCTCCCACCTCAACCCCCAGCCTCATCCTCTCGATCAAGCAGCAGAGCGCTTCCTCAAGAGAATCCAAAACACCGACGAACGCAAATAGCAGCGTTGCTGATTGGCATTCCGCGTGGTCACGAGGGCAAGCAAGTCGCAGCTGCTAGACAGCCGCTACGAAAGCGGCTGACCCTGGCCCCCCTACCCAGTTTGATCTGTCGAATGGATGTAGTCTTTTACATGTTTGACGTTTGAAGCCGCTGAGCTCTGCAAGATCCGCCAAAACAGCTGAGCCATAGGCGAGCAATCACCAGAAGGGCCACAACCTGCTAAGTGTGCCCAGGCAAACGGAGAAGCAGAAGTCATGATTCACTTTGCTCCAATTCTTAATCGGCAGGTCCCATCATGCATCATGCAACCCACATCGTTGCCCCGGGGGAATGGGACCAAACAAAGCGCCTGGCTCTACGGATGCTGCGTGCTTAAATCTATGAACTATTGCTGGCAGCGAGTTGTGTGTTCTATGATGTAGATGGATGGCTCACTGGCTGTTGGCAGCCAAAGCAAGCGGATTGCGCTGGCAGGGATTAAGAGTTGCAACTGTTGAGAGGCTTAAGCGGAGTTCTTATTCCAGTAGCTGGACAATGCCTTCCCAGGCCTCGCCCCGCAGGCAGGCAGTGCCCTCCTGGCACGCCAAGGTGTGGCCGTCCGTACGCCGGTCCCTTCCAAGCGGCCAGGCACCGACCCCCCCTCCCCCTTCTCTCATTCTCCCTCGAACATATCTCGAGCTTCTGGTCGAACTCCTTGGTTTGGACGAACATGTGCCGAAATTCTGGTCAGCGATTCGCTGCGTAAGCCTAGAGGTCACAAATTAGTACCAAGAAACACTCGGTGCAAAGACAGGGGTCAGTAGCAAGCAAGAAGGAAGGAAAGTATACAGTATAGGGAATCCTACTCTCGAGATTCTAGATCATTTCCCTGCAAATCTCCCCCAAGTCATTTTCCTCATCCAGCCATCTCCAGCACCACAAACAAAGGGGTGCCTCACCTCTACAGGTGATCACTGAATCACCTGATGGTGGCACCAACACTTCCAATTGGCTCCTTATACTGTGAACACCTGAGCTTCTTCAACCTGGCCAGCTGCTTGCCAACAATACTAGGTGAAAGCATAGCTATAAGCAATGAGAGCACTATCTGCTCCCGGCTCCGATCCCTCGACTTTGCGCTGGGACGTGTCAAAAGGCCTTGCCTCTTGAAAAATCCCCGGCAATCTGCATAACCTGTGTGCATGAACCTGCTCTGGGGCAAGGTCGGCCTCTTTGGGAAGATATTCAAAGCCCTGGCTCGGCCAAGGCTCGCTATTTCCGGGGCTTCACGCTCAGCAACGAGAACTGCCAGTGGCAGCAGCAAAGGAGACCCAGGAGGACCAGTATGCCAACCTCAGGCGGAGCAAAGCACTGGCTGAGGCTTGTCTCCAGTTTAGGTGCAGCTTTGCTTTGGTGTCCCTTTGAAACCAAGCCAGGTAGATGAAGGAGCCTGGGTAATGCAATTGCTCGAATATTCGCCTTCCATGCCCAGTCACGCTGCAGGCAATCCAGGCCAGCACCATGTCCTGCGCCGAGAGCCGCACCCCTCAGGCAACCCCCTGTCCGAAGAGTAGAAAGCCGATAGGGGGTTGTTGCCAAGTATACCAAGCAACCAGCAATAGCTGACAGCTGTACTTGTAGCGTGCCCGAACAGATGGCAGTGTCAAATTGGAGGTGCCCTAGATTCCCAGATTTGTGGATGAGTTTCTTTGGATCACTTCGTATCGTCAAGCTCAAGTAAGGACGCTTCATATGCCCGGGTGGACTCCAGTGGAGTGCTCAGCGTGTGGTAATTGATATGATGCTGCTCCTTGATCTTCATCCGCCTCCCTGACTCTCGCCTCGGCGTTTCTAGACGACTATGGCAACCATGGCTGAAAGGAAATTGACATGGGGTACCTTTTTCGAGGCTACCCTTTTGGTGTTATTCTAAAGGGAAACCAAGAGGAAAGCCTCTGTTTGGGGTGGTCCCCTTGACAAAGGCTTGAATGTAAGTCATAAAATCTAAACAGACGTATACAGAAGCGCTTTCTGCACTGCTTAGCGCAAGAAGTGTCACTGACAACAACAGATGCCGCAACTGTCAACCTTGCTCCATCTCATGGAGAAAAAATAGGAATCGAATCCTCACCATGCCCCAAACAGAACAAGCCCGGGCGTGCATGAATGCTGCAGGCGAGTTGCACGTAGGAATACAAGTCGCGCCTGCCTGGATCGTTGCGCTTGGTCCTTGGATCCGAAGGCTGGGTCACGGCAACAAACGCACGAAGCATCACGAAGCATCAAATGCCTTACGAGTGGACAGCCCTTGCGCTTGCAGGGCTTGGGCTTCGACTCGGTCCAATGAAGTCAAGAGACATGGTCAATCGATCAATCGCAAATCAGCTAATTAGAATTGGCAGCGCGACATCTTCGTGCTTTGCAACATGTGCATCCTCTAAACAACTAAAAGCCCTCAGCAGTGATTCCTATACGGTGATAATTGATCTGCGCAGTCCAGCTGAGCATCTCCAACTCAGGTTCCGCTGCGAGGTCCAGTTGATGGAACCCAGCCAGTGTTCCTATCAAACGATTCCAAATGCAAACCATGTCAATCCACCAATCGGACAGTTGGTGGCAGTTCCACTTTTCCACCTCTTGCCGGGGGGGGCGAGGGTGGGGCAATCCATTCAAAGGCCAATTCCTTGGTTTGCACCAACATCAGGTCTTCAATTTCACTCTACAATTCTAGCCGAAAAAGGAGGCATTGCTGCCCCAGTCACAGCGTCCTGTTCCCTGGTGGCTCGTGTGCTTCGCTGCTTTACCTGGACCGAGCGAAAAATCGAACTGGACCAGGCAAGCCCAAGTCTGGACAGGATCACCCAGCCATTAATATGATGCTCCCAGAAATGTGCCCCTGTCATGCTGCAGCTGCGCCTGCATCAGCAACTTTCCTGGGAGCGGAACTCAAAGCTGGGGGCAAGTCTTCGGACGACACGAGCGTCGGTGGCTTCGAACGGGCGAGGCTCATGCTGGTCGCTCACAGACCGGTCAAGTTGGAGTCTGTGAAGAAGATGGACATGCTCCAAGACCCAGCTGGATGGTGCCCAAACACCGCTACTAGCACTCGACCAAAATGAATTATATTATTATCCTTAGATCAAAATGATCTCGGTCAACAACCTTCCACTTCTATGTGTGCCTGCTTGATTCCTGAGAGGTCTTTCACTGCAGCACAGCATAACGCTCTGCAGCACAGCACAATGCTAGACAAGCTTCTGGCTCTTCACCTCTAATCGAGACTTTTCCTGCACGGGAGACCTGTCCTGTTCGGGAGTCTTCTCCTGCACTAGATCACGACATGAGTTGACACATTCAAGCCAAACATCACAACCAAAGTGAGAACTGAAGCGCTGTCAATATGTGCATGCCAGCACCCGCCTTCACACCGGCATCACCTGTGAGAGGCTTCCGGGAGCTCTGTTTTAAACCCTCGCGCAAAAAGACGATAGCATGTTTACATCAGCCCCTCTGCCGAAGCAAGTGCCATTCGAAGAACGAGAGCGTCTGCAAGTGACTCAGTCTTCGGCTATGGTCCACGCTTGCCGTCGATGCAGCCTGGAGTCCAAAACAGTTGATGCTGCAACTACGGCGAGCAGTTTGCGGATTCCATCCCCGCCTCAGAGCCAGGCTCTTGCACCACTCCGTGGGCCTGGCAAAGGATCACAAGAACCAAGCCTCAACAGATCTGGGAAGGATGGACGGATGGAGACCGGAATGGTCGGCCTCACAGCATGGTCGGCTCCCCTCCGCAAGCGTCATCGGTCCGAATAGAGTTCAACACGCCGCTGCCCTTCTATACCATGCCCTCGTCAGTTGCCACACATCAGCCAGCCAACAGATCTGAGAAAAATTGAGACCAACCCCAGGGCTTGATGGCTCAGTTTCACAGCTTTGAAATGTGTCTAGTCCCCACCCTGCACCATTATTTTCCGCCACTGAGTGCGAAACAGTTGTGAATACAGGCCTCCTGCTCGTCCAAATCCAGCTCATGGTAGCTGAGCCTCAGCGGTCCCCAAACATCGCCCAGCACCAGCCAACAGTTAAACAGGGGCACTGAGTGATCAATCACAGCTGGTGCTTCTGCTTATTCAATTCGCGTGAAACCCCTTATTAAAAATCAATAAATGAATAAATTTTGTTTAAAAAAAAAGAACCCCCAAATTGCATGCCCCCCTGGTATCAACCGCAAAAGCGCGCCAGCACATCCAAACTGCACTCCCACCCGACCATGAATCTCGCAAAAATGCGCCCGCACCATCACGAGCCCCTCAAACAGCACCCCAAACAGCATCCCAAAACAGCACCTGCGTCAGCACCCCAGACTGCCCCTGGCACCCTACCGTCAATCTTGCAAAAGTGCGCCCACACCGTCACCTGCATGCCCCCTAGCACTCGGCCGCCAATCTTGCTAAAACGTGCCCGCACCATCACCAGCAGCTCAAACAGCACCCCAAACAGCACCCCAAACAGCACCCCAAACAGCACCTACACAAGCACCGCAAATTGCACGCCCCCTAGCACCCAGCTGTCAATCTCGCAAATCACCTTCCCTTCTTTATTAGAAGTTAGAACCCCTCTAGCTTTCAGCTATCTGGGGGAAACAACATTACACCAGCATAGACCCCAGATAGCACACCACTGCCACGAACATGACGCAGCATCATAATGGCTCCCGCTGCATCATGATGATGTTGACAGCATCATGGTGATGTTGACAGCATCATGATGATGTTGACAGCAACTTAGCACTGTGCGCTAAAATTGACGCGCAGACAACGTCCTACTGAGCGCAGCAGCAGAATGATGTTGACAGCATCATGCTGATACACCAGCCACGAACGATTCCACGTTACATATTCGGCAGACAAAAGGCAGAGACGACGTCCTGACGAGTTTGACAGCATCATGATGACACGGACAGTATCATGATGATGCGGACAGCATCATGATGATGCCGGCAGCATCATGGTGATGCGAACAGCATCATTGTGATGGTAGAGGCAGGCGAATGATCATACCACAGCCACAAATCATCTTGCAAAAGCGTAATAAAATTCAGCATCATCCTGCTGTTGACAGCATCATGGCACGATGATTCCAGCAGTATCATGGCGTGGTCAACAACATCATGATGATACACCAGCCACGAACCACTACGCGCCACAGTTAGGGCAGCAACAACGTCCGAATCGATTGAGTTGACAGCATCATGATGCTGCGGACAGAATCATGATGATGCCACAACCGCGACACCCCAAACAGCACCCGCCCTCAATACAGCAGCCCCAACAGCACCCGAACGCAGCACCTGCGCCAGCACCTCACAACCGAACAGCACCCCAAAACCGCGCCTTCTGTTAGAACCCCTACGGCTTTCAATTGTCTGGGAAATAAGCGCCCGCGCGGTCAGCAGCACCTCAAACAGCAACCCAAAACAGCACCTGACACAGCCCCAAACTGCATGCCCCTAGCACCCGCAATCTCGAAAAATTGCGTCCACAACGTCACCAGCACCTCAAACAGCACCACCCCCAAAAACACACCTGCATCAGCGCCCCAAACTTGCAGCCATCAATCTGGCAAAGATGCGTCTAGCACCTCAAACAACACCCCAGAGCAGCACCTGCACCAGCACCAGCACCACCATGCCCCCCTACTACACAAGCACCCCAAACTACATGCCCCCTGACACCTGGCCGTCAAGCTTGCAAAACAGCATCCACCAGGCACCTCCACCAGCAGCCCAAGCTGCTCGCATCCACCAGCACCCCAAACTGCATGCCCCCCAGCACCCGGCCGCCAATCTTGCAAAGCGGCACCTCCACCAGCGCCCCAAACCACATGCCCCCTAGCACCCGGCCCCAAACTACATGCCCCGCAGCACCCGGCCGTCACCAGCACGCCAAACTGCATGCTCCCTAGCACGCGGCACCTCCACTAGCACCCCCAAACTACATGCCCCGTACACCCGGCTGTCAATCTCGCAAAGCGGCACCTCCACCAGCAGCCCAAGCTGGATGCTCCCTAGCACCGTCAAGCTCGCAAAACAGCATCCACAAGCCCCAAACTGCATGCCCCCTAGCACCCGGCCGCCAATCTCGCAAAGCGGCACCTCCACCAGCAGCCCAAGCTGGATGCCCCCTAGCACCGTCAAGCTCGCAAAACGGCATCCACCAGCACCCCAAACTGTATGCCAGCACCCGGCCGTCAATCTCGCAAAGCGGCTGGGTGCCCCCTAGCACCCGGCCGTCAAGCTCGCAAAGCAGCATCCACCAGCACCCCAAACTGCATGCCCCTAGCACCCGGCCGCCAATCTCGCAAAGCGGCACCTCCACCAGCAGCCCAAGCTGGATGCCTCCTAGCACCGTCAAGCTCGCAAAACAGCATCCACCAGCACCCCAAACTGCATGCCAGCACCCGGCCGTCAATCTTGCAAAGCGGCACCTCTACCAGCAGCCCAAGTCGCAAAACAGCATCCACCAGCACCCCAAACTGCATGCCAGCACCCGGCCGTCAATCTCGCAAAGCGGCACCTCCACCAGCGCCCCAAACTACATGCCCCCTAGCACCCGGGCCCAAACTACATGCCGTCCAGCACCCGGCCGTCACCAGCACCCCAAACTGCATGCCGCCAATCTCGCAAAGCGGCACCTCCACCAGCAGCCCAAGCTGGATGCCCCCTAGCACCGTCAAGCTCGCAAAACAGCATCCACCAGCACCCCAAACTGCATGCCAGCACCCGGCCGTCAATCTCGCAAAGCGGCACCAGCAGCCCAAGCTGGATGCCCCCTAGCACCCGTCAAGCTCGCAAAACAGCATCCACCAGCACCCCAAACTGCATGCCCCCTAGCACCCGGACCTCAAGCTCGCAAATCACTTTCCCTTCTTTATTAGGAGTTAGAACCCCTATAGCTTTCAGCTATCTGGGGAAAAAACGTGCCAGGCAACTCCTTCTTCAGATCAGGCCAGTTCCCTTGCGATTCTAGCAATGCCGAGTTGCTTGGTGGAAGATTCTGGCGCCTGCACAGGCTTGCAATGGGAGCAAGCTCAGAGGTTTCCCCGGGCTGTGTCTATGCCGGGCATGTGACAAATGGGTCCCATGAGCGTGAGAGAAGCCCAAAAGCAAAAGGAGACTGACCAAGTTGGACATGGTGCCGTACGAGTTGTGGAAATAGATTGAAACTCTCAACAGTTGGTTCTTCCATTTGAGACACCGCATCGGCCTCCGAGAACATGCAACTCCTTCGAGCGCCAGCATACCCAACACTCCGCGCGCCTGCTCTGCCGCACCAACAGCCTTGGCTGTCTTTTGCCTTGGCTCGTGCCAGGCTGAGCTTCTCAAGCCCACAGAACCAATGGGTCTGTGAAAGGAGCCATGTCAGCTGGATACAGATTTGGTCACACCAAATTTTGCTGGTGGCCCAAGGGCGGGCATCCGGGGCGGCCGCTGGGCCCTTGCTAGAGCTGCCTCCTGGGAATCAAGGACATGGCAATCGCTTGTTAAACCCATCGAGCCTGGCTGCTTCTTGTGCCAGAGCCATGCGAGATTTCCTCCAAGAAGGACTGCTGCCTGGCAGCGGGGAATGGCAACAAATGGCTCAAGGGCAATGAACATGACTCAAACGCGCTGGCTGGAAACAGCACGTTCGTGTTGCGGCAAACCTCCCACGACTACATTGTGGGTTGCGGTCGTTGAACATGCTAGCTATTGAGACATGATGTCCCCACTGTCACAGCGAGGAGCATGGTTGACGGTATTTGTCAAATGGACTTGTAATCTCCCGTCATACGAAGCGCGACCAAGAGAAGCGATTCGGCTCACCTCACCAGCTTCTCATGCATGGGCCGTGTCGCAATTGTCCCTGCCAGTGAGCCCAACAGGAGCAATATTCGAGACCTGAGATCCATCCATATGGCGCGTCACGAAAGCACCTCAAGCTCCAACTTGAAGCGCTGAGGCAAGAGCATCACTGGACTCCGCTTGCCTTCATCAATCTCGCAGACAACTGACCTGTTTCCTGGGCAATCCCAGCGCAGCAAAATCAGTAGAAATGAAGCGATGGCTTGAGTTGCATATGTACCCCTCTTGGCTCCTCAGGATCTGGGATGCTGAGGACGGGCGGCAAATGTCCGGGCCAAAATGGCAAAGGCAGAGTTTGGGTGCCAAGCACATGAACATTACTTGCACGCATCGGAATCGGTCTTCTCAGAAGGCTCATACTTTGGTAACAAGGATGTTGGCAAAGCCTCCAACTAAAGCCCTTGCAGGTTAAATAACTGCGACCCACCTCTTCGGGCTGACGAACGACATAAATGTACACTTCCAACTTCCAACACTGAGCTGCTGAGCCTCTTCCAAGTCTCTTGCCACCGACTCAACACCACAATGACCGCCCCAAGACGCCAGAAAGGCTGCACCTGATGGACCTGAGAGACCCGAACCGCCCGGACAGGCGCCTCCCGGCAGGCCCGCAAGGCCCGCGCCGCGAGGCGCCGGGCTTCGCCACAGCGCCGCGCCTGCCACTGCGCCTCGGCCGCTGCGGCCTGCGCCGAACAAACGACACTCTGCACCGAGCACGCAATCAAGACATGGCATATTTGAAATATTCCCCTCGGTTCTCAGAAGGTGCCCATGAGACAAACCCATGCGGCCCCCAGGCGCGGGCCTGGCGCATGGCCTCGGTCTCCTCCGTCAGAGCCCCAGCTGCACGGCACGCGGACAGAAGCTCCTGAGAGGCGCAATGGCCCGGCTGGGATACGGCATCTGCAGCAAGCCTCTGCTCAAGCAGGCATTGCATGCATTGCGCGTATTGCATGTACGTAGAAAAGATGATGCAACATTGTGGGCTCGTGCCAACTCCTTGTCTCCTTGAGTGCCTGTGTTCCCTGTTTGCACATCCAGGCAGAGCTTGCCAGCAGCGATCAAAGCCTGGGCATAAGCCTTCTTGGGGCAAGGAGTGGCCGCGTCTATCTCAACAGTTGTTGGAACATGCTCCCACGCATTTCAGAGACATCTCAATGTAGGCGTGTCCCAGTACGAGAAATCCTTGGCGGAATCCGCCCCGCGTCAAGGGCCAAGTCAGTGCGCACACACTCCGCCCATCTCTCACTCGGTCCTCAAGGCCGCGTGGACGCTGCACCAGCACAGAGCAGCAGAGCTGCTCTGCCAGGGCCCAGCGCTGCTCCGACCTCGCCGGCGGTGTGGGCCTGCAACTTGACCAAAGATCCGTCGCAAATGGAATCCGAGGAAATTGAGGGCCCAGGAATCTCAGGAATTCCTGCCTTTCCCATTCAACCCTTCGACCTTTCCCTTTGGCCTTTGGCCCTAGGCGCCCGGCTGCCGCGCTTCGTCCGCTGCGGCGGCGCTCGCCGCGCGGAGCCGCTCCGCGCCGAGGTCTTGGAGCCGCCTTTCCGACCGATCCCGGCATCCCGGCCTCCCGGCACCCTCCATGGTGTTCCAAGCCATTCTGGCTCCGGCTTCATGGTGGGTGGCAAATTGCTCTCAACTCCTAATTTAAAGACTTGGCCCGGCCTCGATGCCAGCTGTAACTGACAAGCCACTTCCGCCCAGCTGGCGCCCAGCTCCCGCCACAGGAGCAGCAGCTCCCTCCTTGGCCGCAGCACTTGCGTGTATATAGCTGTATATATGTGATATATATATATATACATATATATATATATACGTGGTGTGTGTATATATATATATTCGCCTCGGCCCCAAGTCGGCTTTCTCAAAGAGAATTTTCGCTTTTGTCTGCTGGCCCTAAGATCCTGTCCGGCGGGCCTTGAAATTTACGGCAAAACCTGTCCATGCCTGAATCGCCACTTGACCAGCTCTGCTGCTTGCAGTCGAACCGCTGACGCTGCGCGCTCGTCTGGGCCGAGGCGGACAACGCGCAGCGTTTACAATTATATTATACACATAATAGCACTGTATTCTGTTGACTTTATCTGCAACTAACTTCTTTCTTGCATTGTCTTGCCTGCGATACGCCTTGTTTGCATTAACTCTCTGAAGAATTTTGGCCTCCAGGAGCGTTCAAAAGACAGTGCCATGAACGCCCTCCTCCGAAGAACTGGATTCAAAGGATTCACAAGCATGGCAAAAGTCAGCATTTAGTATGCAATGTCTCACCTGGGCTTACGATTAGCACACTGAATGGCTTAAGGTGGCTGGCATGTAGTACAAACTTTCCAGCACATGGTCAAAAGAGTTTTCAAAAGGATCGCAAGTGAGAAGTCGCGAGTTGTGAGGTGACGTGTCAACAAGTGCCAGAGGATGCTGGAGCATGTCAAACGGACTTGAATCAAATTCTGAAAGGAAGAAGCTTATTCACCAGCTCAACTTCATGACTTTCAGAGTTCAAGACTGGGAAAGGCATACACGCCGCAAGCCCCAAAGAGGTGGAGCTTTGTTACTCCATGTCAGGGTGGTCCTTTTGCGAGTGATCAGAACAGTTTCCTCTTGGAAATCCGCCGAATTGGCCCTGAGAAGGCTGCGGCAGGACCCCGCACTGTGTCTCACTGGGTCATCGGGCGCCGGGGCTTCGGTGCACAGCTGCGCTTTAAAGAGCGTCACCAAGGCCTGGTGCGCTTCCACTGAGACCTGTTCCCAGTGCCCTTGTTTTCATTTTGGATTTGAAAAAGACTGTGGGAAATCTGGTGTATCTCCCTCTTGTGGGAAATGTAGTGAGTCTGCTTCATGTTGGGTGGACGACCTATGTACCACCTGGGTTGAGGACCTGGTTGATGGCAACCCAAACTCAAAAGCGTCTCCCTCAGAAGAAACATAAAGCGCACATCAAAGAATCCAAGTCCGGTCTCCCACCTCCGCCTCCCCGGCGGAATGTGCCAGGTGTCGGCACAGCGCAAGAGCTTCTCGGGCCGCATCCAGCGCCTCAGATTGCTGTCCAAGGAGATGAGATCACATACAGCAGCTGCTACATCAGATGGCTTGGAAAAAGACTGGCCCAGGGATTCGACCTCCTGGAAAGGGTGTGGCTCATTGCTGAGGGGGGATTCAAGCCCCTGGCGGGCGGGCGGGGGAAGCCCCTTACCTTGCTTATGCAAGGAGAAACTTCAGCCAGGTTCAGCTGGCTTTCGCCGGCAACGGCCCAGACCACAGGCCTGGCGCTGGTCCTCGACGCCGAGATGGGCCTCTGCGACGGCACAAAGGGCTGCAGCCTGCGAGCTCCGCAAACCCAGGGCAGGGAGAGGTGGCACGGTAGGAATTTGGTGCAAGGTGACGCTGGCACGTGGGGCGGCCTCGCCCGTCAACATCTGGAACAAGACGTTTGACACGCAAGTAAGCATTCGTTCACTGCTGTTTTTGCTTGTTCAAATGCATGGCTCGCCACAAGCAAGAATCCATGCTGTGCTCGTGATTCCTTTCTTTGGCATCCATCGGAATCATGGACAAACAGCCAAACAACGGCTCGCCTCCCAGTTTGTGCTCGAGGAAGCAGGCACATAGCCCTCGCGGCACCTAGGCACCAGGGCAGCTCGACCACATTTGCCTTTTCGCAAAGCCGTCTTTTTGCTCTAAGATCAGGCGAGAATATCTATCCCGTCCTGACAGGGGCAACCGGGACTGGGATCCTTGGTGTAAGGCCGCCCATAGAGCTGCAGTGACACCACGTCTCGAGCCTTGGCGCCTGAGAGCGTCAGACGCTGCCAGGTGCCGTGGGACTCCAAGTTCCACTCGGAGGGCGGCAGCAAACGGTCACGCCCAACCAGCACCTGAGGAAAGACCAGCTGAGGAGAGGAGAAGTTCACCTCCAGCTGCAAGAACTCGAACTCTCCGAACCACTTAGCGCCGTGGCTCTTCAGCGCCTCGGCCGACTTGGGGAATGAAGAAACTGTGCACAGCCCCGCACACACTATCACAAGGCCGAGCGAAGTTGTTCAACTGTTATGCTGCGATTAAACCTGCGGCCTCTGTGGGATAGGTGAGGCAGTCTGTGGCGCCGTCATCTGAGCAGGGCAACACAGCGCAAGCCTCGGCGGCCCAGGAATCTGTGCCTGGCGAGTAGTCGAGCCCGTTGAGCAGCGCCACCACGTACCCGCGGCCCGGGCGGGCGCGGAAGCGGACGCGGCAGCAGGTGGGCATGGAAACGCCTGGCTGGAAGTTGCTGCAGAAAGTCTGAGATCTTTCCTCCAGGAACTCGTTTTTCACGCTGAAGTCCAGGGGAAAGCTGAGCCACTGTGACCAGTGCGGCCGCGCAGGCGGCGGCAGCCTGCCCAAAGCACACGTCTCTGGCGGCTCTCCTTCCAACCGCTGCGGCACCTCTGCCACCAACAACTCGTCGTCGAGGCCGTCCAGCGCGTAGGCCTTGGCCGCTGCCAGACCCCGCACGAAGATGCCGCTGCCGGAGGTGGAGGCGCTCCTCGTGTTGGCCGCCAAGAGCACCGCGCTATTGGCGCGGCTCCACGCCTGCTGCCAGCCCAGCGGCTGCATCTGTGCCATCTCGTTGCTCCAGCTCAGAGGCATCACGAAGTGGCGGATGCCTTCATTCACCAGTTGCAAAGACGGCCAGGAGTAAATGAGGTCCGCACAAATGAACACGCCGAAAGGCACATCCAAGTCTTTGATTCGGAAGCTAACAGTCGAGCACTCCTGACAGGTCATTGCTGATGGCCACGTTAGCTTACAGCTCATGGCCAACAAGCAATCCTTGCGTGTTACGCAAAACGCACGCCGTGACCCCTCACGCCCCCTCCTGGCTGGCATCCAGCGCATGCTCGCCCCAAAGGTGCGCCTTGTGGTATTTCACTAAGAAGGTGCCGTCAGCGTCGAGAACCACCGCAGTGTTTAGCAGCAGCCAGCCGTCCCGGCTCTGCACACAGCCTCGGAATGGCGTCTTCCAGCAGTCCTTCTGCTCCACCAGGTTCGCAACAAGGGCCACCTGACCAATCAATGGCGCTCCCGGCTGAGCCCCGGGCCCGACCCCTTGCATTGCGACGCAATATGCATCCCTAGTTGCGGTTCTTGCGGAGCACACAAGTCGCACCCAACACTTGCAGGGCATACCTCCCTGCCTGGCTGCGGCGTGCCATGCAGCTCAGCCTTTGTAGCGGCCCAGGAGACTTGGCAGGGCTGAGGCAGGGGTTGGTGCCGTTCTCGGGCAGTTCCATGGCATAGTCCCACCACCAGTCCTCAAGCAAGGCCCAACTGAGTAGCGTTACGCAGACCAATATGAGTCTTAACACTGGAAACCTTTGCCCATACCAGGCTGAGCAGCGCCTTGAGATGGTTGCTACGTGTTAGCAGCTAAGCGTCGCGTTTGGAGCCCTGATAGCCAGTGATGCCGTCTTCAGATGTCACCAGAAGTTTGGCACCTGCACGAGCTGCCGCCTCAGTTTGGGGCCACATTTTGCCGTCGCAACGCCTGGAGGAAGCAACTATCACTTTCCGAGGAAAAAACTTCGAATCAAATCGGCACTTGATGAAGGATCAAAGTTCCTAAAACAGATTCATACTAAAGTTCCTTGCCCAGACTCCTGGATTTGGTTCTCGTAGACATCCAAATTAGCGTCAATGGTTGCAGCGGCTGTCTGCCTCACGTGCATCCAAACATACCAACGATGCCCGGACTGGGTGTTGACCCCATGTATACGCATCGCCAGCGCTCGCAGTGTCTGCTGCTGCTGCTGCTGCTGCTGCTGCTGCTGCTGCTGCTGCTGCTGCTGCTGCTGTCGCCATTGTTGGATTGCTGATTTACGCAGCCGCTGCTACCACAGCCACCAGTGTCACCTGTGACCACGTCCATTTTTTGGAGTGCTTCAGCGGGTTGGCAAAGCCCCTGCTGCGACATCCGGCAACCAATGGAAAATTAAGATTCGCAAGGTGAACAAGAGCCGTGCCACAAAAAACTTTAGGCAGCATTTATTTTAGCTGTGGTTGAGATGATTTGAAAGTGCCACCGGACGATGTTTACTGACATGTTGACGGCCTCGTTGAATAATTGCAGGAGTTGCACACTTGCCTTGAAAGAGAAAAGTGGAGAGGGAGAGAGCGAGAGACAGAGACAGAGAGAGAGAGAGAGAGGGAGTAACCAAATAAGCTCAGCATATCCCTAACAGCATGCCATGCTCTTTTTAGTCCTCGCACCACCCCGCAGCCCTCGCAGAACCTTGTGGAACCCTGCTGGAACCTGGTGGAACCCTGGTGCAACCCTGGTGGAACCCTGGTGGAATTACCTCAGGGCCGCCCCGGACAACCCCGGAGCCTATCTGGGCTGAGATCAGGGACCAACATGCAGACATCAAACATAATGGAACAAAACACAAAGAGGAAAAGAAAAAGAGAATTACAATAAGCTCAGGCGATATCCCCAACAGCACCACACCCTCCCAGGATCCTCGCAGAACGCCTCACCGCCGGTGTTGCTGAGGATGCCGCCTTGTATCTTTATAAAGCAAAGCCCGACGGCGCAATCGGGGCCCGACGGTGCAATCAGGGCCCGATCGGGGCCCGATGGTCCCGTAGTGCAACCCAGCCGCCATAATATTATAGCTCAACGCCGGCTTTCCTTAGGATGCGGCCTTGCAACTGTGTTTAGCGAAACTAGGCGATGCCAGCTAGCTTGGTACAGTGGCCCGCGGCGCAATGGCGCAATCGGGGCCGATCGGGCCCCCGACGGTCCTCGTGGAACTCAGCGTGAAACTTTGTTGGAACCTTTGGAACCTTACCCAATGAAAGTGTGCTGAAATGAAAACCATTGATTTCGGTTTTGCTTAGTGTTCCGCCCATGAGCAAAGCGATCTTCTGAGCCCTCAATTTACTGCTCCGATGGCTTTTCAGACGGCGGGTACACGACACTCTGCTTCTCCAGGGCAAACTTGTGGAACCTTGTGGAACCTTGTGGAGCCTTTTGGAACCCTTGTGGCATCCTTGCGGAATTTTTTTGTGAAACCTCAGGGCCGCCCCGGACCATCCCACAGCCCTCGCAGAACCTCTTGGAAACCTGAAACCCTCATGGAACCTTACCTCAAACCACCACGGCAGCTGGTGGAACCCTGGTCGAACCCTGGCAAACCCTCGTGGAACCTTACCACCCAGTATTCGCAGAACCTGGTGGAAATTTGGTGGAACCATGGTGGAACCTTCATTGGAACCTTACCCTGGTGGACCTTCCTCAAACCACGCCGGACCACCCCGCAGCCGTCGAAGCAATTGGTGGAACCCTGTGGTGGAACCCCTGGTTCGTGGAACCTTCCTCAAACCACCCCGGACCACCCCGCAGCGCTCGAAGAAATTGGTGGAACCCTGGTGGAATTTGGTGGAACCCTCGTGGAACCTGCGTGGATTCCTCAAACCACGCCGGACCACAGCATTGGTGGAACCCTGGTCAAACCTTGGTGGAAGTTTGGTGGAACCCTGGAAATACCCGGACCACCCCACAGCCCTTGCAGAACCTGGTGGAACTCTGGTGGAACCGCAGCCCTTGCAGAACCTGGTGGAAACCTGGTGGAGCCCTGGTGGAGACCTGGTGGAACCCTGGTGGAACCCTGGTGGAACCCTGGTGGAACCTGGTGGAACCCTCGTGAGACCTTACCTCAACCACGGACCACCCCGCAGCCCTCGCAGAACCTGGTGGAACCTGGTGGAACCCTGGTGGAACCCTTGTGGAGCCCTCGTAGAACCTTACCTCAAACCACCGGGGACCACCCCGCAGCCCTCGAAGAAATTGGTGGAACTGGTGGGACCCTGGTGGAATTCTCGTGGAACCTTACCTCAGGGCCGCCCTGGACCACCCCGCAGCCTATCTGGGCTGAGACCCCAAAGCTTTCAGCTGTTGGGGAAAAAAGAACATAACAAGGAAGGAAAACACACCATCAACGAAAACAATACCCAAAAAAAAACGCGACCCATATAGAGAGTGAAACTAAGGGGAAACTAAGAGCAGAACCAGAGCCATACTTAAATTGGCAAATTCAAGCAAAAGCTACAAAATCCGAGCCAACTTGAACAGGGTGCTTCCGCCCAACTGGACTTGATATTGTCCATAGCCATGAATCGCCCTTTTTGCAGGGACCCCCAAAACGAGGTGGGGTTCTCTTTCTCTCCTTCAAAGCACCCCTAAACACAAAATTGCAATCAAAAGGACACACCCAGCTCGACTGGCTGCGTCGCCTGTATCTCACCCTGTGCTCCAACACAGCAACCCGCACGGAGGCATCGCCCAATGCCAGGGGCAGCGCGCTCAGCACTGCCAACAGCATGCTGCCGAATGGCTGACACAAACCAGAATCCTCTCTTATGCTCTTCTCCCTTCAGACTTTCAGACTGTATTATCCTTGACATTCGACTGGAAGTGTATGTTCGCAGGATTTCCCCGCGGGTTAGGGGGGGGGGGGGCGCATCTGTCCTGTTTGGGCCAGAAATCTGGATGCATCAGCTCAATCCATGCCGCAATTGTGCACCACCCGCATCCACAATGTCTGATGATTTAGTTGCTCCGAATGCTTTGCTGATTCCCAGACAAGGGGCAAGTCCAGAGCATCTTCTGCCAAGCCCATCTCTTCCTCGACCCCTGTCATGCCGAGCAAACACGTCCGGTGCGTAGGTGTTGCGCAAGGCAAGCGCCAGCAGCGATTAAAATCCATAATGGCTGACTCTAAAGTGGCTTCGCGGATTGTGGCAGAATGATGAAGAAACTGATGAATTATAGCAAAGGAGATACCAGCATCGAGGACGAAGGCCTCCACCAAACTGCCGGCTGGCCGCTGCTCGCCGAAGCAGCGCACGGCAGTCCTCGCTTTCCTGTCCCGGTGGCAAGGGTAGCCGAGGGAGTCAGACGGTACAGCCAAGGAATCTATCTCAAAACGGACCTTGTCTGAGGTCCGAAACCTTGGAATTTCGCCGAGTCACCGAGTTCAGCGATGCCAGAACTGCCTCAGCCGCAAAATCTGCATAGATCTACTTGCTCAGCAACTGCCATGGCAGGAAATGGCCAAAAGGCATTACGACCTACAAAGCTGATACTCACAACCACAAGTCGCCAAACCAGGCTTTAAAATCATCATAATTCCATCTCAGTCTGGTCCCCTTGTCCCTGTCCCACCAAACCCTACTGCACAAGCCGAAACCTCAGTTTGGTTTCTCGCCTTAGACCCTCTCGGTTGGGTATGTCTCAAAGATATGAAACCCTAAAAATGATGCTTGCCTTTTAGTTTCCCTCAACCCCAAGGGGTATCTTCCAAAAAAAACGAACAAAAGCAAAGAGAACGTTTTGCCCATTCAGAGAAACCCAAGTATCCCTCTCTGCCCAAGGCGCTGCCAGCTCCGACGCCCGCGTGGGCACCTCGGGCGACGCAGGTGCCGGGGGCGCCGCAGCCAGCTGGCCTCACAGCTGTGAATTGGGAACGAGAATCCAAACCGAGGCGTTTTCTGGGTTTCTGGCTAACAAAGGCACCCCTCTTTCTGTGAAATCCATCTGCCCGCCTTGAAGCAGCATCAGCTTTACGCCTGGGCTCACCTCGCAAGCAAAAGCAAACCAACCAAGTTAAAGCTCCTGTCAACTCTGTGTCAAGCGCTTGCACTGGGCGCATTGCGCTGTAGCCGCCCTCTGCGCCCTCCATGGCAGCGGCCTGGATGTGGGGCAAACGGGACAGGATATGGCCGTTTCAAGTGCAAAGTCGCAAAGTCCGACGTGCGAGATTTTCCTTGGCTCCAACGGTCTCCTGCCCTGTGCAAAGGTCACAGTGCAGGACACATTTGGTGAAAGGCTCGAGTCAAATGAATTTGAATTTGTGGCAAGAGCGAGTGGCACGAAACCCCACACTACCATTAACTCCGTGAATGGAGCGTCAGCACTTTTATCATGCCAACGCTCTACATTCCTGCTTGGTGACACCTGCCCCATGTTGAAGCATCTCTCACAGCGTGGCAAAAGCAAGAATGCCAAAGAAAATTACCTCAGCAGCTTGTGCGAGTAAGTGCTGTTTGGTATCGCCAGGCAACAATGGCTTGGAGAGCATACGTCATGTGGCGCTCAAGCACGCGGCTGGAATGCTGAGCCTTGGATCCGATATGAGCGAGCTAGCCAAGCTCTGCAATCTTGCTCGCTGTAACTTCTGGTCAAGCAGCATTGTTCTATGATAGCTCTCAAGTCACAAGAAGCAGAATCGCAAACAAGGTCACTGTACCATGGCCAGGTCGCAAGAAAACCAGCGGGCGCCATACTTCCCAAAGGACTGGTCCCATCTCTGCCATGTAAATGACCTGTCAAGTGCATACACACACATGTACGCTTTGCACATACACAATGTACTGAAATTAAGCAAGCAAAACAAGGCGGCCTCTGTCCGTTGCAACAGAGTCTGATCCTTGCAGAAGCTTGAGCATTCGGTGGCCAAGTGACGAGAACCAGCATGATGAACCACCACACGCTGATGAGGATGACTTCAGGTTTCTGCATCTGGCGTAGCAGAATCTGGACTTTGCAAACTTGGGACCATGTTGGGCCGGGCTCTGGTCAATGTCTTCAATGCTTCGGAGGGAAATCCAGGAGCTGCGGGCCTTGTGCAAGAAAACCTCCAGGAAACCTCGTCCTGGGTGGCAACGTGAGTTTGGGGGCCATGACCCTACATGGCATGCCTGCTTGGGTAGTTTCCCCCAGCCAGTCACAGGCGATGGTCTATACAAAGCACCAAGGCCAGGCTCCAAAGAACTAATTCGGTTGGAGAAATAACCCGAAGGCGGATTGTCACACATGCGGCCAAGAGTTCGCTTTCGCTTCTTCTTCCTCCCAGGGAACGTCACGGCTGCACCACTGGGCAGGGAACAACGCTTCCATCCTTTGCTGGAGCAAAAAAGCTTCTGGTGAATTCTTGTACCTGCATGTCAGTTCATCCAGGCCATAGTGTTTTTAAATCACCCTTCTCCTGGGAGGCGACGGCTGCAGTTCGGGCATCGCCTTGCAGGGGAATGCCATCCATCTTTCCTCCAATGTTGGCGGGAGTTCAAGAGAAATGCAATCCTCTTCCCCGGCAGTGTGACTTACGTTCACAGGACACCTTCTTGGCAAGGCCTCTGACCCTACATTAAAGCCTGCCCCCCACCCCCTGTGTTGTTTTCGCACAGATTGATCTCCCGCAACATTTGGCTCAAGGCCCCTTTTGCATAATCACGACCATTCGAGCGTGAGGACACAAGAGCCATTGCAGGCCGCTTACAGGATTATCCATCAGACAATCCACCAGGGACAATCCATCCTCCAATCATCCATTATTGGCATATTGGACTCTCTCCGGAATAGATTCAGGGACCAACAACGACCTCAACTACCACAGGGTTCCAGTTCCCTCCGAAGTTTACGGAACCGACATCATTCCGATGGTATGCCACAACGGCAACACTGATCTCGATAAGACCGTCCAGAATGTCGAACAGGCTTGCAAATATTTCCGCATTGAAACATCCAAGGCGAAACAGATCATCACAGATCTCATCCTCTGGCGAATTGAGAGAATGAGCAGATCGTTTTCCGGATGTCTTCGACATGATCCAAGGCATGGAATCCATAAGGAATGCAAACGGCAGGTGGAAATGGGTCCTGATGGATCCGTCGAGCTCTATGACGCATTGACCTGCATCACACATGCCAGGAACTTCATTGGAAACAAGCCAGGACTTCTCTTGATGGCTATGTTCCCGAGCTATGGAAAATCACGTTTCGAAATTGCGTTCGTATTTCCATCCGTGGACGGGACATATAAAGAGCGCAAGGCACGGGGAGAAATTGTTCCAAGGAATCGATGGATCGACAAGCTCAACACCAGATCCGCACAAAGTGCACTCAGGCCCGATGGCAAGGACTTCTATGTTGATCCTGAGATGGAGTTCTATGTGAGATGCAACAGCGGACACACACGACAAGTCGATATCCAATCCTTTGGACGACCCCTGTTCTCTGAGCAGAAAGAGCCTCATTACGACGAACCGGACTATGATTTGCCAACGGAATCCATTCCGCCAAGTCCGCATCCGTCAAGATCCGAGGCGCCTCATGGAGATGAAAGCACAGCTCAGCCCAAGTACAGAGTGCGAAGGCCGGCGCCACCATCCGTTGAAGAAGAGAGAAAGATCAAGCCGTTCTCGAAGAAGCCCATCCATGCAACCTATGGAAGTCAGCTCTACAGCATCATGGAGCAAGGGCTCAAATCTGGGAAGTCCCAGTCAAACCCTTCGGGGAGAATGCACGTTCACATGGCATGCATCGATGACGTCATCCTCGAAGACGACGATTCTGAAACCGCATTGACCCATGTGCCAGCAGGAAGAGATGCGTTGCTGACCCTTGCATTTCTCAAGGACCAAGACTATGGCATCCGCCTTTCCGAAGAGAGAACAGCGTTGACAGACAAAACCATCGAGGCAAGAAACATTGTTGCAGCATTCGAACCTGATGGCAGCCTCATGGCGAGCAACAAGTGGATCATGAAGAAGTATCTCGATCATGAAGATTACGAGATGTACGACACCAAGATCCGCGAATTCGCCGATGCCTTCTTCAAGTATGTGAATTCCACCAAGCACAACAAGGAAAAAGATACCTCCTCAGAGACCAAGAAGAGACGGCATTCCACCGATCAGGACTCCACCGAAGGAGAAATGATGGAACCCTCCGGGGAAAGATCCGTCAAGCCCAAGGTCATCGTGGAATATCACAATCCAGAGAACCTAGAAGAGTTCATCCAAGAACTCAAGGGAACCTATCTCGAAATAGATATGAACAAAAAGGACGCAGAGGAAGAGCTCGCGGGGATCAAAGAAGAACTCAAACGCTTCATGAACCAGTTCAACAAAGATCCGAAAGGAGCTCATCCCAAGTTGACAGAGTGCGAGAGAGCCTCATTGGCACATGTCGATCCTGATGTCAATCTCGGTGAAGAAGAATTCTACTTCCCTCATCGAGGAGAATGTCCCACCATTGACGAGTACAAGCAAGCTCAACCAGGATCCGGATATCCGATCAAGCTGCCGCTTGGACTGAAGAAGCTCAGGTCACAAGATGACCCGAAAATCATCCGAGCCTATGCCGATATCCTGGGATCGCTGATGCAGCCGACTGACCGTCCTTCCGTGGACTATCTCAACATGCATGAGTTCACCTCATCCATAGGGATCAACATCCTTACCCTGAACCATGGAAACCTCACAAGGAATCCAAAGTTGGACAACAGGGAGGTGTACAACATGCCGATGAAGGATCGACCGATCGTCAAGATGATGATGCAAAACAGTGCACACATCTTATGCCTGAATGAGGCAGACGCATTCTTCAGTCCGAATGATGAGAAATCCAGGGAGCTCATCAAGACGTTCATCCGATACGGTTACAAGGGCATTGTGATCAAGCAACGGTCATCCAGACCGATCGCACGCTTTGTCCGCGGCGGACCATCTGCAAGAGTGGAACTTCTGGCAAGACACATTTCCACCAGGAGCCAGAATTGGGGAACAACATTCGGAATGTTCAGATGTTTCTTCGGAACCAAAGAAGATGGCACTGATCCCGAATACGAAATTCCGACCTCGGATTGCTTGGCAACCACAGGAACATCCATGTTTACCGAATCCAAGAAGTACATTGGATCGAGATTGCCAGCACGCACCATTGTACAAGGACATGGCCGAGACAAGGAGATCGTCGTTCTCCACATCGAGCAGAGTGATGAGTTTCGTGGCATGATCCCGAAATCATCCGACAAATCATACTACGAGTATGACGACCGCCATATCACGAGGGCAGACTTGCCATTCGCGACCATTGGAGTTTTCCATATCCATCCTTCACTTAGTCATGGAGCAGTAAAAGAAGATCTTCAGAACGAAATCATGCCGCTCGTGACCTTGTACCGATGCGATGCGATCACCGGAGACGCCAACAAATCGGCGAACACCTACAGCAAACTCCAGCATGTCTACAATCCAACCAACGGTCTCGTGAACATCCTCATGAGAGCATCTCAGAGATTGTGGAATGCGACGAAGAATTTGCCACTCGTGGACAGAATGGAGTATACGGTGGAGACTTCGTGCACCCTGAAATCCATTGTCCGTCATCACCTGTACATGAAATGCGGATCAGGTTTTGATCGAACATTCCCAGATGTGATGATGACTATCGTATTTGGGTGGGGCAAAACAAACATCCAGCAGGACTTCCGGAGGATCGAGATGAACAATATGGATGATGAACAACTGGAATTCATGCGGAACCATCCGAACAAGGCCATTTTCGATTACCAGGTCTCATCCGCAGAGCGCTACAAGCACGTGAACAATGAAATGTTCATGAACGGAATGATTATGGAGACCATGGCAGTCAATCCGACAGCAGTCGCCGATGGTATCGTCGATCCGACTGACCATGAAGATACGTTCAGCACCACGAGCAATCCAGATGATTGATCCTCCTCGTCTACAAGACTATACCATGAGTGAGTGATCAATAGTTTCACAGTTGTTCCGCGTGTACATAGCGTTGTACATCACCCTTTGATGCAATCAGGTATCCAAAAAGAAGCGTACATAGTATTTCCCATTTCTAAGGCCAAGACATTTCATCCAGCAGAAAAAGGATGAATCCGGCTCTTTTAATCACATGGCTACGGCACACATTAAGGCTACGGTCAAAGGCCATGAAGCCAATAGCATTTCATACTTTGTGCTGGAGATCAAAAGAAGTGTGTGTCTGTTTTTGTGTTGTTTTCGCGCAGATTGATCTCCCGCAACATTTGGCTCAAGGCCCCTTTTGCACCATCACGACCATTCGAGCGTGAGGACAAAAGAGCCATTGCAGGCCGCTTACAGGATTATCCATCAGACAATCCACCAGGGACAATCCATCCTCCAATCATCCATTATTGGCATATTGGACTCTCTCCGGAATAGATTCAGGGACCAACAACGACCTCAACTACCACAAGGTTCCAGTTCCCTCCGGGGATAGGCACCTGGGGCAGTGGGCCTCACCCCCCCCCCCCACCCCCCCCCGCCCGCCTGCATGGCAGGCCCCAGCCCACTCTGCCCCGCGCTCTCCGCACTTCGCGCAGCAACACTGCGCGCGCACTCTGCAAGCCCAATTGGCAGCGAGACGAGAAGGCAGTGGAAGCTTCGAATCCCACATGTCTGTAACCTGCGATCTGCGATCTGCAAAAAGTGAAATAGAATCCACTAAATCCCTTGCCCAGCCTCCAGGCCCCAGCGCCTCACAGTACCGAGCCGACTCCAGGACATGAATCCCTGAACAGAAGGCGAAACATGACAGAGGTGCGTGTTGAATATTGCGAAAGGCTTTGTGACCATCAAGGCCCTTCAAAGAAGCACCGCACACAATCCATGCGCAATCATGGCTCGAAGCAAAACGCAGCCTGGCACTCCAGGCACTGGCGCCGACCCTCTGTTGGGCTAAAGCTTGGCAAGCCAGTGACAGCGGGCATTGTGATCACACGAAAACCCGGGCAAAATGATTTGCTTCCCGCAAAGGACACGGTTAATTGGGTAGTTGTCCCCCATGTCCTCCCCATGCCAACAGTAAGACTACAAAGTAGTTCGCCAGTGTCTCATACCTTGCTCCCTCGTCCGATCCCGAGCTAGCAAGGCCATTGACACGGGCGTCAAAACAACATTGACCCTTCGAAACCTCACCAGTTATAGTTATATCCATCGGAGCTTTTCTTGTACTCGGTGCAGCTCTTTTCTCCAGTACCACCATGTGGTTAAAATTATGCGCCAAGAAAGGCCATCACCTCGTCCGCTCTTTGCTTGGTGTCGGTTCTATTTCAACAGCATAGACAAACAGCTCAACACACACCCTTCAATCAGAACGGAGGCCTTTCCTGGCCAGAACAGCCTCCAGCACAGAAACGCCATTTATTCATCAACAGCTTGCTTCTCCATCTCTGCAGCTCCTCTCTTCAGACTCTCCGGTGCAACCTAGTCCCCATCAGGGGCCTTTTGCCATCGCTAAACCCAGCCACACCTGAAGGCACGCAGCTTCAAAGCCGAACGACCATGTCAGCAACCATCGTATTTATCTTTATTTATCTTCATTTATTTGCAATTATCTGCAAACATCTGCAATCATCTGCAACCATCTGCAAGTTGAAGCTCCCCATGACTAAACTGCTGATGACCTGTCCTTGGCCAAGACAGGGTGGAGACCCTCGTGCCAGAGTGGATGGATTTGGATGGGGTTGGTAAATCCCTGTCAATATGCAAGAGAACAAAGCCTGCACGCGCCTTTACGAAGAACGGCCCTCGAACTCATTCATGTTCAAGAACCTACCAAGTGGGAGTGCAAGCACAATCGCAATGTTCAAGTAGTGCATTCTTGCGGCCCCTGTGGGTCGGTCGTGCCAAATCATGCTGTTTCTCATCTCTATCCGAAAACATGTTTGCAAGAAAGGAGCAGGTGAATAATCAAGCCAAGTGACTCTTCCATGGATGTCTTGATGCCATTCTCGATCTCTGGAGTGATCTGCTTCTTCTCCATGATTTCCTGGCTTGGACATGCTTCCAGTGCTGGCAGCATGCCCTATGGCTTGTCGCGCTTTTTCAAGCAAACTGCCTCGAAGCAAAGCTTTTGAATCAGTCATTGTTACCCCCACAGTGTAGTAAGACCACCCAGGGTGAAGCCACGTGCGCGGCCAAATGCGCCGCGCCTTGAGGACGTCGGCACGAGTGTCCTTGAAGTGCTTCAGCCACAGGGCCTCAAAGCGCAAGATCTCCTTCGTGGCCACCTGTCAGAAATGCTGTCCGTCTTGTGGGTCAAGCTGATACCGGGGGGTCTCTCGTTGGCTCATTCGGCTTAGATTTCAAGAAAGCCAGACAAAGAAAGAAGGCGCCACTTGCTCACACATTGGATTCCGGAAGTGGGGCATGCCTGCATCACTGCCAGGATGGGACATGCAGGGACAAGCCTTGAGAGGAACAGCGCTTGAAACATTGACAATCAGAGCTTGAGATAATTCGTCGACATTGCTAAAGACCCCCGAGTGCAAATGCGGGGGCCACGAACCGCGCGTGCTGTGTAGAATTCACCAAAGCCTGAATGTTTTTCCTAGACAAGGCGGCGGAGTTGAGTTCTGTGTTCGACTCCTCTGATGGGTCTGACCCGGTAAAGCCCTGTGGAAAAGCATGACAACATGAGCCATGTTCGAAATTGACTACAAATGAGATTGAAACTTCTTGTGTCAATGTGTCCCACGTATACACCCAAGGAGGATCGGGCCGAAGAGTTGCTAGAGTCCCAAAGGATCGTGCTGGCAGCTGTGGCGTTGACGCCTTGTCAAGGTAGCCGCGCGTTCCTGCCCAAAGCGAGATGATGATCTCAGCCGTGGTCATAGGCACGAACCTTGGCATGGAGGCGTGAAAGCAAAACACGAAGGACCTTTAACAAGGACAGAATCAAGCTGCCTGTATCACACTGATGCGCAGTCGTGCTGTTCCTGCCAAGCTACTGCTTCTGCTTCAGAAGCTCCGTCAGGATGCCACCTGGCACATCGAGCATAACCATTTCAAGCTGCCATGCTGCACGTCGCCTCGCAGCAGCTGGTGCTGCGTTGCGGCGTCCAAATCGGAGCCGAACTGCGCAAAGGCAGCTACCTGCCACAATGGAAACGCGTCTGCAGGAAGACAACGAAACTTTGTAGCCAATGCTCCCTTCCCCCAACCGCATCCGGCCCTCCCTTTCCGCATCCCGATCACACCCCGGTCCCTTGCTCAGCCTTGCTCCGCCCGCACTCCCATTGCCTCACGGTACTGCGCCAGCTCCAGCTTCAGGGTGCCAGCCACCTGCCAGCGACTGCTCGCGGGCTGCCAATGCCATCTCCCACCTTGCATCCCTAGAGTCAAAACTATGGAGTGGGCTGGTCTCGAAGAGGGTCTGACCTTTGTCGCACACGAACGCCGGCCTGCTTCATGGCCTTGATCTGCGCAGCACTGCCGACACCTAGGCTTCCACACATGCACAGAGTTCCACTTCGGTGTTCTTGCGAACCGAAGTCCCGCGTCCAAGCGAATATTGCAAACACTGCCATGTGATCTTGATGTCGAGTGGCGGCTCACAGACAGACCCACGTTCACAGCGGGGCGGATACCCTGGCACCAAGCAGCAGTGCAGCGCTGCTTAAATCAAACCTGTATAAACTTGAAGACAGGGGGGTCAGCGGAAAAGGCCACGCAGCGGCAAGCCGTTTTTGCCGCTCACGACTGCGGGTCACGCCAATGACACAAGTTGAGAGGTCTAGAAAAATATTAAACCAGCATCGACCCCAAACAGCAATTGGACACATCAGCTCGTTTCGGTCGGACAACAAATTGCCAACAATTTGAGACCATGTCTGGGCAGCCAAATCAAGCTGTCAAGTCGAGGGCAAGACATTGCCTCGCATGAGGGTAACCAACTGTTGTCGTAGCTTTTCTCCATGCCATGGAATACAAAAAAAGCAAGCAAGTGTTGTGGAAAACAACAAAGGCACGCCAGGCAAGTGACCGAGTCGCCAAACAAAAGCAGGGAGACAAGTGGAGACACAAGCCGCGCCAAGGTCCGAGTCGGCAAGCGCAAGCCACAAAATAAGTGGGAAGCAGGAGTGACGCCATGGGCTGGCGAACAAGGTCCGGGCGAGCAAGCGCAAACAGGGTGAACAAATGTGGAGACAATGGGGAGACAAATTTGGGGAGCTGGGGAGATGCAAGCACAAGCAGAGAAGCAAGTGGGGAGACAAGTGGGGAGACAGGGGCGACGACCAGCCATCACAAGGCCAAAGCGAGCAAGCGCAAGCAAGGAGACAAGTGGGCAGACAAGCCTTGACAGAGCAAAGGGAAGCAGCAGAGAGGCAAGAGAAGTCAGGAAACAAGTGGATAACAAGCCATCACGAGGTCCAAGCGAGCAAGCACAAGCAGAGAAGCAAGTGGGGAGACAAGTGGGGAGACAAGTGGGGAGACAGGGGCGACGACCAGCCATCACAAGGCCAAAGCCAGCAAGCACAAGCAAGGAGACAAGTGGGCAGACAAGCCTTGACAGAGCAAAGCGACGCAGCAGAGAGGCAAGAGAAGTCAGGAAACAAGTGGATAACAAGCCATCACGAGGTCCAAGCGAGCAAGCACAAGCAGAGAAGCAAGTGGGGAGACAAGTGGGGAGACAAGTGGGGAGACAGGGGCGACGACCAGCCATCACAAGGCCAAAGCGAGCAAGCACAAGCAAGGAGACAAGTGGGCAGACAAGCCTTGACAGAGCAAAGCGACGCAGCAGAGAGGCAAGAGAAGTCAGGAAACAAGTGGATAACAAGCCATCACGAGGTCCAAGCAAGCAAGCACAAGCAGGCCGTGTCCTGCTCAGCAAGAAAGCAAGCAAAGAAGCAAGTGGGGAGACTAGTGGGCAGGAGAGCCAAGCCGTGACAAGGACCAGGCAAAGCAGGAGTGAGGAGACAAACCGTGACAAGGCCTGAGAGACCAAGCACGCAAGCAAGGAAACAAGCGGAGAGAAGTGAGACAAGCCGGGTCAGCAAGCGCAAGCAAGGAGACACGCGGGGAGACAAGTGGGGAGCAGGGAGGGCTCTGAGCAAACAAGCGCAAGAACAAGCGGGGGGCAGCATTGCCTAGCACAAGCAGCACAAGCAGCACAAGCAGGGAGACAAGCGGGGAGGAAGTAGGGAGACACATCACCAGAATGGCCACTACGAACACGCCTGCGGATTTCTCATGTTTCGTTGTGTGTCACACATGTGACAGTATGTGTGCAATAAGAACTTCAGTAATGTCACTTGCACTTTTGGCGGCTGCACCTCAGGATCCCTAATGACGGACGCTACTACAGCAGCCACGGAAAACGAAGTCGCAACGGCCACTACACCAAACCGCTCTACAACTCCCTTGCGGCGGCTGACACTACAGGGCCCGAACTACAGGGCACGACAGGCCCACATCGAACAACAACTACTGGTAAACTTGCAGCCACTTCCTCTCAGCTGCAACTTGCATGACATCCACGATTCCAACAACTCTGACCTTCACATCACAGAACAGTTGGGACCACGGAACTACAACTCAATTCACGAAGCACGACATTCCACTCACTTTGAAAGACTACTGCTTCCGTACAGCTGGCAATGAACCATTGGACAACCTGCACGCAATGATTCACACTACACCACCACTACAGGACACCTTCACGAGCCAATCGACAACAGACTACAGAGGAGGCACAACCCAGCTGACGCTCATATGTGGCACTACTGCACAATCACAGAGCGCCGCGCTACGACTGCCAATACGGACGTCTACGCGCTACTGACGGTAGCACTACCAACCACTACACACAACCGCTTCGGGATGGTCACCTTGACTACTTCATTAGGGGCTACCTGAAGAAATCATGAGCACCTACATACTACGCATCAACGCGCTTCAAAGCGCTCACTACATCCAGCACAACTTCAACGCCTTCAGCAAACACTACACTCTCAGCAACAGCTTCATCTGGGACTTCCATCTACTACTTGACACCAACCAACTATCCACTGACGACACCGTCATGCCACTCAAGACAACTGAGTACTACAGGCGCCACTTGCCCACTACAACACACGGCTCACAACAGCTCCACCGACTACTACTCAACACACTTCAACAACTACAGGAAAACACGCCCATCAAACCAAGGACTACAACCGGACCCGATCAGGACAGGCTCTCGACCGCGCGGGGCACCAGGACACCCAGACCTTGCTACAACAGCTACTGACCCGCTACATATTATTTTAATTCCGGTAGAACTCTTGGAAAACAACATCAGTTTCTATCACCACTGTTGAGTGAACATATGTGTGACACGCTTCCCCTTTTGCAATTTCCAGCGTGTTGGTGGTACTACAAACCGTCAAACTGCAGGGGCGTGTCAAAATGCAGTAGCTACGCGTTGCACGTGTCATACCCTGCAGGCCTTGAGTTTCAATTCAATAGTCGAAGCACATAATAGCACTTTCACTTGTGGTATTTGTAAGATTGATTTTAAGCAGAAAGAGAGAGAGAGAGAGAGAGAGAAAGAGAGAAAGAGCGAGAGAAAACGTGAGAGAACTTGAGAGCGAGCGAAAACGCACGTGCCACCAAAGAGAAGGCAGGGCCAACTCACCGCGGCGGTGGGGCGCGCCAACACGGCGCGGCCCGTGCATGCCAACACACGCGCCAAAGGGAAGGGGCGAGAAGAAAGCACGAAGAGAAAACAACGAGGAAGAAGCCAACCCAGGATAGAAAACAACAAAATGCTGGATTTACAGTTGTTTTCTACTTAACAAGAACATTGAGAAATACGCAACCAAATATGACCAATGTTCCAAAAAAAGAATGGGCTGATTATCAGCTTGCTGCTCCAGCCCATTGGAAAACAAAAGATTAATAAATTATGGCCCGTTCTAGGTGGAAAAATAGTCACAGTCTCGGACACGGAATGGGCTGGGCAGTATTAACATAGAACCGGCGAAACGGGTGGTCGGAAGTTTCTAGAAATATACAAACTATGATTACCTTTATTTTCTCTTTCCTTTTGCTCTTTCTCTTTCTTTTTCTCTTTATCTTTCTCTTTTCTTACTCTTTCTCTTTATCTTTCTCGTTATTTTCCTCTTTCTCTTTCTCTTTCTTTTCTTTCTCTTTCAGTTCGTTCTCTTGCCCTTTCTTGACACTTTTCTTTCTCTGTTTTTTTCTCTCTTTCTTTCTCTTTCTCTTTCTCGCTATCTTTCTCTTTCCTTTCCATTTCTTTCTTTTCTCTTTCCCTATCTCTTGCTTTTCTCTATCTCTCTCACTCACTCTCTCTCCCTCTCTTCCTTTCTTTCTTCTCCCACTTATTCGGCTCTAGCTTTCTATTTCTCTTTCTCTTTCCTTCTCTTTCTATGTTTCTTTATCTTTCTTGTCTCTTTCTTTTCTTTTTCTCTTTCTTTTCTCTTTCTCTCTCTATTGCCCTCTTTCCCTTTCTTGTATTTTTCTTGCTCTTCTCTTTCCCTGTCTCGTTCTTTTCTCTTTGTCTTTCGCTTTTCTCCGCTTTTATTTAATTTTATCATTCCAATTTCTTTCTCCTCTTTCATTCTCCTTCTACTCCTCTTTGTCCTTCTTTTTCTTCCTCTTTCTTTTCATTTTCTCTTTCTTTTCCTCTTTCTCTTTCTCTGTCTATTTTTCTTTGTTTTTCTCTTTCTTTTCTTTCTCTTTCTCTTTCTCGCTATCTTTCTCTTTCCTTTCTTTTTCTTTCTTTTTTCCCTATCTCTTGCTTTCTCTTTCTCTCTCACTCTCTCTCTCTCTCTCTCTCTCTCTCGCTCTCTCTCTCTCTCTCTCTCTCTCTCTATTTCTCGTTCTTTCCTTTTTTCTATTGTTCTCTTTCTGGTTGTCTCTCTCTTTCTCTTTCTCTTTCTCGCTATCTTTCTCTTTCCTTTCTTTTTCTTTCTTTCTTCCCTATCTCTTTCTCTCACTCTCTCTCTCTCTCTCTATTTCTCGTTCTTTCCTTTTTTCTACTGTTCTCTTTCTCGTTGTCTCTCTCTTTCTCTTTCTCTTTCTCTTTCTCTTTCTCTTTCTCTTTCTCTTTCTCTTTCTCTTTCTCTTTCTCTTTCTCTTTCTCTTTCTCTTTCTCTTTCTCTTTCTCTTTCTCTTTCTCTTTCTCTTTCTCTTTCTCTCTCCCTCTCTCTTTCTCTCTCCCTCTCTCTCTCTCTCTCTCTCTCTCGCTCTCTCTCTCTCTCTCTCTCTCTCTCTCTCTCTCTTTCTGATTCTACCTCTGCCACGAAATCTGTACCTGACCTTGCGAACGTGCTCCTGGCAAGCCTCACCTTGCCAAAGTGATGCGCCTGCCACGAAATCTGCACCTGACCTCGCGAAATTGCTGCACCTGCCACGACATCTGCACCTGGCCTTGCGAAAGCGCTGCGCCTGCTACGAACTCTGCGCCTGGCCTTGCGAAAGTGCTGCACACGAAATATGCACCAATGCTGCGCCTGCCACGCAGTCCAAACCTTGTGAAACCTTCGCGTTGCCATTACAGTGGGCCGGGCGCCGAGACCATTCCGAGACCGTTCCGAATCTGCTGAACCCGCGCCGCACCCTCGCCAGACAGGCGTCAAGACAGAGGTGGTTGACATCGGCGCAGATCTGCAAAACCCGCAGAGGGTCACTCGCTTTCGCAATTCACATCCCCCCGTCACACGCCCACGCACTTTTTCTGGCATGCGTTCGTTCATTCTTCATCTCATCTGCGCGGAAACTCTCTGCATATGCTTTCTTCCGCGCGCGATCTGATCTTTTGTAGCTATCTGCAAGAGCTTTCTTTTTGCGCGCGCTATCTGATCGATCTTCTGAAGCAAGATCTATCCGCGCAAGCTACATTTCAAGTAGCTTCCGTACTGTGGAAGTTCCTTCTAAACTTCCTTTGATGATAGATGATCAACACTAGCCGCAAACAAGCTTTTTCTGCACGCAACGTTGTGACATATTTGGGCCGTTTGGCAAGATGTTCCAGTTAAATCGCCATGCCATGGGGGCCCGCTTCATCCGAACCATATAAAGACGCACAACCATTTGGCAAGTCTTGGCGGAACGGCGCCCAGTCACTACGCGAACTGACTTACAACCACAGCCTAGAACACGCATGCAAGCGGTGGTCGGGCGTTGCCTCCCACAAGGCACACACTCCAACAAGGCGCACGCTCCAGTGTCCGCTTGGCAACTGCCGGCCAGCGCTGTTCTAGCGCGGGGCTAGCGCGCGGCCCGCGCGCGGAATTGCCCATGTTTTCAGCTTTTTGCCGGCCACTCTAGTATGGGTGCGGATTTATTTTTGGATTTTTGCGGATTTTCTTGGTTTTTTCGCCTTTCGTCCGGGCCAGTGGGATGTCGTGTTTTACAGCTCGCGAAATTGACGCATTTTACACTGGCCCGCCAACATCCCCAGCATCGTTTTCAACACCCCCCGCATGTCCGACCAACATCCATAGCATCACCAACACATCGTGGGTAACATAATCAAAAAAGTAGCTGGCTGGTTGACGGGGTCAAAAAAAAATGATTCAAATACGAGGGCATTTCAATCGATGTAAAGAAAAAGTAGCGGGGGGGGTTCGGGGGGGGGGGGGCAGCCCCCCATGTTCGCCCAGGCGATGATTCGAATAGCTCTGCCAAAAAATCTAAAAAAATGGCGGGGTTGGGGGGCCGCAGCCCCCCCCATGATGTTCGAAGAAGTGATGATTCAAATAGGGGTGCGATTAAATCTCTGTAGAAAAACTAAAACGTAGCCGGGGGGTTGGGTGAGGCGGCAGGCCCCCCCCCCCCAATGACGTTCGAACAAGTGATGATTCAAGTACGGGTGCAAGGATTCAAGAACGGGTGCGATAGAACTTGAAAGGCAGCGGGAGGGTTGGCGGGGGTGGCTTCCCCTATGATGTTCGAAGAAGTGCATACATACAGACATACATAGCTTACCTAAAATGTCGTATTTTACAGCATTTTCTCGCGAAATTGGACGCTCGAAAAAGTGATGTTTCAAATAGGGGTGCGATTACATCTCTGCAAGAAATCTAAAAAGTAGCGGGGGAGGTTGGGGGGGGAGGCGGCAGCCCCCACCATGATGTGCGAAGTGTTAATTCAAATAGGGCTGCATTTTTTGCAAACAATCTAAAAACTAGCAGGTGGGTGGGGGGCAGCCCCCCCATGATGTTCGAAGAAGTGATGATTCAAATAGGGAGAAAACTGGCCGCAAAAGCCAAAACGCCCGGAGAGGAACTGGGAAAGCAAAGGATGCGAAAAGCCAAAGCCGCCAAAAGCCGCATAAACCAGCGAAAAGCCGCAAAAGCCAAAACGCCACCTGCCGAAGAAGAACTGGGATTGCAGAGGATGCGAAAAGCAAAAGCCGAAAAGCCACCAAAAGCAGCATAAACCAACAAAAAGCCGAAAAGCCAAGAAGCCGAGACGCCAAAAAGTCAAGAAGTTAAGAAGTTAAGAAGTTAAGAAGCCGAAAAGCCAAGAAGCCAAGAAGCCAAAAAGTCAAGAAGCCAAAAAGCCAAAATCGGGGGAACAAAAGAAAAAATCCTCCCTCTAGTATTGTCACGGAAGGGGCCACTGCGCAGGATGCATGAGAACATCCGCATCTCCCTCCTGGACTAAATTAGATGAACACAGGATTTGGCCAACTGCAAACTTTCCCGCCTAGCGCCGAGCTAGGAACTATGCGCATACTTTGTCTAGCTCCTTAGCCGGCCTTTTTAAACGGAAGCCATTTGGTATAATCTTCCCTCATCCCCCCCCATCGGCCCCTGCCTTGTAGAAAAGCTCGGTCTCCAAGAAGATCTGACCATCCGTAATGGAGATGACCTCAGCAGAAGCCCTGTGAAGAATTGTATCAAGCCAGTGGCCCAACATTACAAGCCGCCTGGTTTTCTTCCGTTCAGCCAAGCGGCGTTGGTGGGGATGTAAGCACTCACGTCGCCCGCCTGGGTCTCAATCACCGGCAAGGCGGTGAGGGAGCCGCCACCCTGGGTTGCCTTGCACGTTGGTCGCGCCAGTCGTTCCACACGCTGCCAAACCAGTCAAGAGCAACTTGCACGTCACAGAAGGGCTGCGAACTCCCCACCCAAATGAGACGCCGGGCTCTTCCCAAAGCTGGCCTCGTTCATCTTGGCAGCACGTTCCAACAGCCGCGAGTGCAAGTAGAACACATCACCTGCAAGCCACGACTTGACCCCAAGACCAGGTGAGTCACGCGATGCCTGACACTGCCATCTGATCACATCGTTGGCTGCTAACATCAACTGCAAAGCGCGCCAGGCCGATCCACACCCAACCCCGCTGCCTTCCGGGAAACCCTGCTTCAGCCCTTCCCCGAAAACGGTCCTGTTGCTTGTATTACCCCGCCTGGGTAGGCCTCACGCCCAGGCGGCCGGCGCAGCAGAAGCGACATCTGGCCTTGTGTCGGCGAGCTGAAGGAGAACTTCGGATGATGCTGTTAATGTTGACTAGTGCGAAAAGAAGTACGGGCCGTATTGCAAGTGCGCCTGAGTCCCAGCAAAAGCTGGGTCTGGGCCCCTGAATGGGCCACTGAGCATATGGTGGTCAACAAATAGGCATGCACCAACAACTGGTAATAAAAAGTTGGTTCGAGAATGGGGTGGGCAACAATTTGGTACAACACACGATGCAGTGCAAATCTGATCATGCATTGTCCTGGACAAGTTGCGATAAGCCACGGCCTGCTTGGAGAGATCGTCGTAGAAAATGACCTTGCCACAACAACGCACAGCAATCAGGACCTCTCTGCACCAAATGCACAGGTTGGGTTGTACCCACCATGCCCACCATAGACCAGATATGCCCATTCATGTTCAGCCCTTCAATGTGCGAGTTTTCATGAACCACTAGCCCGGGACAGTTTATGCAAACGAATTCTGGCTCGTGAGGCAGCTACACTGCCGCACAATACACTAGCTGAACAAAGGTTTCGATACAAGCAACTAATACGGTTTGCTTTCGGTTTTGCAGCAAGGCGCCGCATGCTTGCCGTTGTCCCGGAAGTACTCAGCCATGGCACAGCCCGTGTACGGGGCTAAGAACTGCAGAGGTGCTGCCTGAGCTGCAAGACGAGTTTCTGGGCTCTTTGGCTGTTTTTGGTGAGCTTAGATTTTCTTGCTTTTCGGCAAATCAAACACTAGGCTTGAGTCTGCCAGTCCAGCGCTTCGCTAATTGGGAAGGTCGGGGAATAGTTGAGGATGTGCAGAGCCCCAACCCAAACTTGAATCTACGTGTTGGCTCTTGGTCGAGCTAGGCAAGCCACGTCGGAGGCTGTTGCGGCCACCACCGTGGTGTACTTCAAACAATCCTCGGCCGAGCGCCCAGCAACTGGGAAGCCTGTCAGATCAGTGCCCACAAGAAATCCCATCCCTCTACCGGCGGAGTGGCGTTCTTGCGGAGGATCTCGAACAGCTGTGCCACAGTGGAGCGTTTCTGTCCTCAAAGCGGTATCAGTCACCAAAACCACGCGCCCTACCAAGGCAAACCCTCAAAAACCAGGTGCCCTGCCAACCGCCACGTAGATGCAGTAGAGGTGGGCAGACTTGTCTGGGGAGTTGTTGATGGCCTGTCAGTGGGCAATCAAGCTGGCAGCAACAAACTTGCCCTCCCAGCCCGTCCTTCTGATTCAAGATGGTGTCGATGGCAATGGCTGTCTTGCCAGTCTGACGATCGCCGATGATCAGCTCGCGCTGGCCACGGCCGATGGGAATCAGGCTGTCCACTGCCTTCAAACCTGTGGTCCTCGCGCAAGCACAACACTCCCCGAGCAGCTGTGGGAGCAACATGGGAAACAGCCTGCCCATCAAGAAGAGATGAGTCCGCTCCTTTCCCATTGGCCATTCTTGCAAGGCGTCATAGCAACATGGAGCCTTCTTGGTACTGAAAACACAGCTTATCCCACGTTGTCATAGTTGTTTTTTTCCCCCAAGTACAAGCCATTGCGCGGCGAACAACGAACAACTGCATGTTGTGCATCCCCGTCATGGGCTCGTGGACGCTCTGGCGAGGAATGATGCCAGGAGCCTAGGCAGCTGTCGCACAAGTCAGTGCAAATCTGCCTCTGTGGGCATCATGTTACCAAGCTGCTCATTGCCTACTTTACAAGCAGGGAAGCCAAGGTGGCAGAGTACGTGCCTTTTTGCACCCGAAGCATGGACGACCTGGAGCTCACACCCGGGATTGACCCTGATGGGTGTAGACTGCACAAAGAAAGATTCTAAAAATTTCAATGCTCAGTGCAGCGGGAAAAACGTAGTTGCGGACAAGGACTGTTGCATAACTTTATTCCAGGCAAAGGCGGCTGCAGGCTCACCTGAACCACTGCTTGTTCTTCAACTTTCTGAGCCAATTCTTGAATGCCATCGCAACCTTGAATGCTTTGCCCTCAATGGTCAGGTCCGTGCCGCGGCCCGTTCCAAGCGGATTGAGGCGGCGAACGCATACGTTGCCATTCTCCTGGGAAGACCTCGCTGGTGAACGTTACGGTACTGCGGACCCGTGTTTTAAGAGGCAGTGTGACTCAAGCGCAATTTGTTCAAGCTGGACATGAATATTTAGGCAAGCGGGGCTGTTGATGTGTAAACACCTAAGATGCTTAGACCTTTAATGTTCAGACATTGCTAGTTGAACATGTTTGACCCGAAGGATGAGAATCGGAAGGGAGAGCGCAATGTGCATCTTGTTAATGAAAGGATAGTACGCAATGGTAGCCAGGTTGGCACAGCTGCCCCAGCCTATGGTATCTGCAAGTCTGCCCAAAAACCCACCAATGCAGAGCCCACAAATGCCAAAAATGGTGAAGCTTGTGAACGCAGTTGCCTCGACCCGTTCGTTACGACGCCCGTGGAGTACCAGCGTGGACTTGGCGTAGAAGTCCAGCTTCTGGGCCTCCAACCGGGCAACGAAGAAGTCCACATGCAGCACATCTGCCTGGCACCGCTCCTCCACGTAGACCGCAAGCTCGTGGGCCATGGAGGACTCGGCCCTCTGCACCATCCCCGCACATCTTGGCCATCTCCTCCATTTTATCCGCGAACTCCTTGACAGAGTCCTGGCTCAAGTTGGAACCTGACAAGGTCTAAGGTCTGCAAGATCGACAGCTCGAACTCCTTCTGGGCGATCTCCTCTGCCGCCTCTCGGCCAGCAAACTTGGTCGCCTCGATGGTGGCCACATCATCCGTCCACTTGCTCCTGAACTCTGTCACGCTGATGTTGGCGCGCACCACGCGCGTGATGATCTCCGCCCGTCGCACCTTGTTGAGACGCAGTGGCTTCCAATCATCCATCTCAGCCTCCACCATGCGATGCCCCAAGCAGTTGTCGACAGCTTACATGATCTTCTCAGCAGCTGAGGAGGCTGACGCCTCTGATGCCTGAATGTGATGTCACTGAAAACCTGACGTCTGAATATCTGAAACCAAACAGTTGCACGCGAGCTCTTGCCATGTTCCCGACGGAACGGAAAACGTGTGATATCTGAAGCCAGACGGCTGCAAATTGAGCCTGAGTATGCGAATGCCGCATGTCACGTGTCTGATTCACTGATGCACGATCACGCTCTCCCGCCTTCAGCTCGACTCGGCGCCGGGTCTTGGTGGCGATGGGTCCAGCACCATCAATAGGTGTGCCCAGGGCGTCCACCACACGGCCCAGCCTTGGACGATCTCGGTTTGCAAGTCTGAACGCAATAACTAGTTTTGTGTGGAAGGCGCTGTGAAGAACTGGGGCTCTGGCAGTTCCTCGCCAATCGGCACATCGACAATTGTTCCCGTGCACTTCACACTGTCGCCTGATGCGTGCGTGGGGCGTCGTGTTCTCGCAGAGTCCCAATAGCAAGTGCAGGCAATGAAAAGAAATTGCGAGAAGAGTGGACACATGCTACTCGAGACCTAGATTGGCGCAGCATTGCTATGGCATTCCATGTCATGCAGTGCTCAAGCGTTCATGGAAGATTGTTGAAGCAACATTGGAGAGCCTTCCACGATGGCACGGTCATCTCCAAAAACGACGACACCGACGTTGTCTGTCTCCTGATGCGATAAAAAAGGCACTTTGAACCAATCCTTGACCATTCCTACACCAAACCTAGACCCAAAACCCAATCCGAAGCATATCCCATGCAAACTCCCCGACTGGGCTTCAACCAAAGCGCGGCCAACCTGGACCAGCTTCAATGTGAGAACAGAGCATGCCCATGATGAACTCATCGGCTTCAAGACACACTTCTAACTGATCGGAATGAATCATGATATGCTTCCGAAGGTCCTGGCCTAGGGCGATGATACAGGGTGGCTTTCGGGCGGGTGGGAGTTGAAAAACGGTTGGATGGGTTGAAACGGTTGAGGGTTGTGTCAGGGTTGATTCTGTAAAGGTTGTGGAAGAGGCGGGATTCAGACTGACGTGTACTTAAAAAAAGCACGTTGTGTTTATATCATGTTTGAAAATTGGCAGAGACACGCATGGATTGACGTAGGTTCATGCTGAACTCATTGTTCGATTGGGGTCAGTGCAGGTTGTCTTAAGGCTAAGGCGGTGGAGTGCATGTGTAGCTGCTTGGCTACGGGTGGGATTAGCCATCAGCAGGCAGCCGAGGCACCAAGTTGAGAGCCATGCCTTTGAGGCCGCTGGAGAACTCCACCATCTCTCCAGCCTCGCTGGGTGCGGCGAACATCCCAGGTCCCAGCTTTGTAGCATCAAACATAGCTACGCAAGCCAAACTGCGAGAAATGGGACCGGCTGCCAAATGAACAGCTAGCAGAATCCAGCTGTGCGAAGAAACCTTTGGCAACAGGCAAAATCTAACCTCCAACCGATGTCTATCTGTTAAGACTCCGCTAAAATCGAAAATGCCCAGCAAACACAAGGTATGATGCCGATGCCTGCCAAACGTTTGGGTTGGAACAATCCACAGCGCCATGGTGAAAGCTCTGACAAATGTCATGCCATGTTTGGAACCTAGCCTTCACACCCTTCAGGCCGTAGATACGGGCGATGCCGTCGCCCACGGAGAGCACACGGCCCACCTCCTGCACGTCCGCCTGCTCCTGCACAAGGAAGGCGATGGCCATTCGAACTGTCCGACCGCAGCCACATCCGTTCCTTCTGTCTAATCTACACCGGCAGCGCCTTGAAGTTGGCGATTCGCTCGCTCAGGATCTTGGTGAGCTCGGCCGGGCTCACTTTTGCTGCTGGCCTGGGGCCGGCGTCGCAGGCGTGCCCTGCCCTCCCACCCTCCCGGGCCTGGGTGCGGACACATGGAGCTGCCGTGCTCCGAGGGCGCTGAGTGCGCGGGGCAGGCGCAGCAGACTGCGAGCCATGGCCTCACCAAGCATCGACATTCCAGTCAACGCTTTTCTCAGCAAAAGCCCCAACAAACATCTTCATCGCTCAACCCCATCTACAGGGCTGTGCTATGACATTGCATGACACTTGTCAACTTCCCCTCTCGCGCTCCACGCTAGGAGCCTGGCACTGTCTTCTAGTCTGCAAGCAGCACAAATGCACCAACGCTGGATCCAGAATGTCAGCGATACTTTGCTGCACCACCTGCAATATTTTCTCGGCCTTGGCACAGAAAGGATCTTTAAGAACAAGCGAGAGTTCCCGTTTTTTAGGCGTGGGAACTTTTGGGTCCCTGCCCACCACCAGTTTGTTACAGAATTGATCTCCCGCAACCATTTGGCTCAAGGCCCTTCTGTACCATAGCAATACTCATGATTGCGTGACAAAGGAACCTTTGCAGGCCGCTTATAGGATTATACAACAATACAATCCATTAGGGACAATCCATCCTCCAATCATCCATATTGGCATATTGGACTCGCATAGATCCAGGGACCGATTCAACGACCTCTACTGCCACAAAGATACCAATTCCCTTCTGGGATAGGTACCCCGGCAGTGGGCCTCAATTTGTGGTAGCGGATCGGGTTTTCTGCAGAGATCCAAGGGAAGATGTCATCCGATGGAGAAGGCTTCATGGAAGCCTATTCAAGTATGGCCAAGCCACAAGGCTATACGGAGGAAACACTCAATTTATCGATGACCGCCAAGCAGCCGCCATCGTACGACGGAAAAGTCAGCTGGTTCAGGTATGAAGAACTCGTGGACGACTGGGTGACAATCCCTACGGTGGAAGCACCCAAGAGAAAAACCTCTGCTCAAAAGCAGACTCACCGGAGATGCATATATGTATAAGGCAGTTCTCCAAAATGACCTTTTGCAAGATCCTGACGAAGGAGTCAACTACTTCAAGAACACGCTGAAGAAGTACTTTTTGAAAGGTGCGACCAACGTGTATCTGTACAGGCTCCTCAGTTTCTTCAATCATCGAAGGCAGCATGGATGGACTTGATGCCAGTTTTCACGGCACAGTCCCCATCATTTCGACAGTCCGTACAGGACGCAAATGCAAGAACAATTGCTCGACATCAGCAAGCAGCCGGTGTTCGAGCACCGCCTCCAGTCCTGCTCAATGAGGAAGATCCAACAGTCCTCAGACAGTATATCACGGGAATGCAGGACAGACAGCGGGACGCATTTCCCTTCAAAGATAATCTCATTGCACATGAACTCTTCATCACGACCAGGACATCCATTCAAGATCCATCCATCCGACCTCAAGGAGGTAACCGAAGCAACACCTTCTTCATCATCAAGCAAGGTGAATGACAAGAAGGCTTTTGGGTTGAGGATGAAGAAGGACTTGAAGGGTTCATGTCAAACAACGATGAAGAGACATTCTGGGCCCTCGAGGAGAACGATGCGTTCATAGCAAGAAAAGTGTCGGGGCGGAACTTCAAATTCAAGAAGAAAAAAGGAAAAGGAAAATCCGGAAACAAAAAGGGTAGTCACCAACGAGGTGGTTTTAAACCCTTCAGAAAAAGCGGTTCTGGCGGAAAGGCCAATATGGCCAACGAAAACTATGATCCCTACGACCAGGCATATTGGGGAAAAGGCAAAGGAAAGAAGGGAAAGAAAGGAAAATCAAAATTCCAATATCCCTATGATGGAAACAAAGGTTATCCATCTTATGAGAATGGCAAAGGAAAGGGCGGACATGACAAAGGAAAATCCAAGACGTTCGCAGCCACCGCAGAACAGACGGAGGAGCAGCCCGCCATCCAGCAGACTGCACCATCCATAGAGCCTACCTATGCCGGTTGGACAGACCAAGACTGGGATCAATCATGGACATGGAACGCACACGGCTGGTACTCATCCCATGAGACATCCAGCACAGGACAAGCGCTAATGGCATTCCATGGTGCATATGAGCATCATGAGAAAAAGGCCATCCACGGGAAGCTGATCCAATCAGATACAGTTTCAGAACACAGTCTGTCCGTCACAACAAATCACAGCCTTTTGGCAACTAAGCTGATGGCGCCTGTCATCAACCCTCAGCACAATCCGACCTATGCGATTCTATGGGCAGCTGGCATGCAATCCAGCGTTTTACTCAGGCCATCGAACCAATGAAGGACATCATCTCCTATCAGTACATCCCGGCCGAGACCAAGTTCACTTTTGCAAATGGAGAAACAGCCAGGGTAAATTGGACCCTGCATCTTCGATATCACACAACTCCTCCATGCAGTACCAACATCGACGTCCTTGAACAAGGAACTGTACCGATCCTCCTCAGCATCAGCCAGATGCGGAACCTCTACATGACCATCGAGCACACACCTCAATGTGACAAGATCACATGCAAGGCCTTTGGCATGAACCGTCAAGCAGTTCCAGTATCCGGTACAGGACATGCACTCGTCGACCTCGCTGGAGTTGCAAGAGTGAAGGCACATGGAGAAATTGCTCACAAAGGCCTCACCAACTATGTCTACGATGGTGACAACAGCATCAAGTTTCCCTCCGGGGATCTCTCCAATACTGAAACTGTTTGTGCAGCAAAATCATCCGAGACAAATAAGGACCTAGCAACTCCTAAAATCATTGGGTCTCAAAAGCAGGACCATTGGATCCTTGACAAGAAGAACAATCAGCTCATCCGTGCGCACATCACGCCCTGCAAGGCGCTGTTCACACCAAATGGAGCCAAGGAGTGTCCAATCAATCCTGATAACATTAGCCGAGAGCGTACTACGGAAATCATTGATGCATCCGTAGGTGGAGATCCAGACATCCTAGAAGACAACTGGAGACTTACATCCCAGGCAAACAAACCGATGATTAACCTGTGGATAGGTAAGACCATTTTCACCTTCGCGGACAATTCGCTTAAGGACGAAGAAGCAGGTTCAGGATCGGCAGCAGACAGGATCATCGACAAGAGGGGCCGGTCGACCATTGAGCCAGATCCTTTCGCACCATCCTCAGAAGAACCAACATCGCTTCCGCTTGCCCTAGGCAGAATCCACAAGCGATTGTCAAATCCCGAAGAGTTGAAGAAGCTCCACCTCCAGCATCATCACATGACCACGAAGCAAGACGAGTGGACTTCGGGCGGACACCTTTGGTGACATGACATTCATTGATCACTGTCAAGTTCCTCTTGGAACAGGAGAACACATCTTTGTTTTTGTCATCCTGGATGGAGCAACAACATTGCTCACTGCAGAGGCAGTGACAACTATGCAAGAAGTCGAGAACATCACTGTCCTCAGGAACTTTTTTGACCAGTACCACTTGCAGCCCAAATCGGTTGTCGCAGATCAAGCCTTCATGACAGAGACATGGGAACATTTCTATCAGTCCCTTGACATCACGCCGATATCCTTGGGGCCGAACACACCATGGCCAAATCGAGCTGAAGCAGCAGTTCGACTCCTGAAGGCGCAACTCAAGATCACGCTAAGTTCCTTCAAGGCAGGAACAGCACCTGCAACGCTGAAGAAAGTGACATACAGACAGCTGGCGAAGGCCGCTGCAACTGTCAGGAATCAGACTGTCACCTACGGGGGTGTAACACCATTGGAGCTCGCATTCGGAAGACGACCAGCAGATCTCATCCAACTCGATGTCGCAACACCAACTCAGTTGACGATTGACAGGAATGACAGCCATCCAGATCAAGCAGCTGTCCAAGCAAGCATTCCAAGAAGCGCGTCAACATCCGACGAGACCTTGCTCAAAATCTCCGAATGAGCTCTAAGCCTCTTCAGGTGAAGGACAAGGTAGTCTACTGGCAGGAAGACAAATCCAAGATCCGTTCCGATGGAAGCAAGGGAGGAATATGGCTGAAAGGAAAGGTCATTTCCATTGAAGGAGCACTGGTAGGACTTGATCTTGGGACTCGACTCATCAAGGTTAACATGACGAAGGTCAGGAAGGATGAAACCATCCCTCCGAAAAAACCTGGAATTGATCTTCTATTGCCAGAAGAGCGAGAATCCTTGCAGAAGGAGCAACCCGGCTCCTCTGCCGACGCCAAGAAGAAGGAGTCATCCGCACCAGCTCCTAAGCCAAGATCCTCAGTGCCATTACGGTATTACGTATTGCGGGAAAAAACAACTCCCAAACCTGCAGCGCCTCTTCCGGCAGAGAACATGTTCGTCGAGGACCTCACATCCGTTCCTGAACAAGCACATTGGAATTGTGTACGTAAAGGAAAGATCCACGTTCTCGAGATCTTTGCAGGAAGTGCCAGAGTCAGTCAATGCTGTGCACTCTCAGGTCTTAAGGTTGGGACTCCCGTAGACATCCGCACCGGATTCGACGTAATGACATCCAAGGGACGACACATGGTCATGGAGATCTAGTCCAGAAGTTTCAGAAGACGATGAAGCAGTACCCACCGAAGACTGAAATCGATATCTTCAAGCAAGATCCTAATGACTGGCGATGTCAGAACATGTGGAATGGCTGCAAAAAGTTGAGACAATTGTGCATCTCATCCACTCAGTATGATGCATGCACCGCATAAGTCCACACCATCGGCATCAATATGCCCATTACGTCACCTCCGGACGATGCGATCATATCCTTCTGGCAGCCTGATCAGCTGAATAGAATTTGGGTCTTGCCTGCATCAAAATGCAATTGGGAGAAAAATGATCCGAAGACTTGGCACGCCGTGATGTTTTCATCCGTTCATCAGTCGTTCACAGATGCGCCGGCTATCAGGCCGAAGCCCATCGAGACGGATCCATCGGATCCAACGGATGAACCTCAACAACCTGAAACACAGCAGCCACCTGATCAACCGGACCATCCCATGCCTGATCCAAGACCTCCAACGCCACCGGACGAGAACATCCTTCACCGCCACCACCACCACCACCCCCCCCCACCACATCTTTTCCTTCGCTAGAACCACCACCCCCCCCCCACCAACTATGATCACCACCACCACCACCACCACCCCACAACCACTACCCACGCAACCACCACCACCACCACCACCACCACCCCGCTACTTGGTACTTTTGGCAACAAGCTTTCACTGCGTCCCTACTCGAATCATCACTTCGAACATCTGCTCGCCCTCTTTGAATCATCACTCCTTCACCCTTGAAACATCATAGGGGGGATGCCCGCTACTTTTTCCAGATTTTCCATCAAGATTTAATTGCACCCCTGCTTGAAGCATCACTCACTCGAACATGCCCGCGTTACTTTTTAGATGTTCCACCAAGGTTATTTGAATCATCACTTCTTCGAGCATCATGGGCGGGGCTGCCCCCCCCCCAACCCCCCCGCTACTTAGT